CATGCAGGCAATACACTCATACACATAAAATAAAAATAATAAATTAAATATAAAAAATGCTACACGAGGGGCTGGAGAGATGGCTCAGTGGTCAAGAACACTGACTGTTCTTGCAGAAGACCCAGGTTCGAATCCCAGCACTCAAATGGCAGTTAACAACTGTTTGTAACTCCAGTTCCAGGGGATCCGACAGCCTCTTCTGTCCTCCACAGGCATTTCACGACAGGTGCACTTACCTACATGTAGGCAACACACGCATACACATAAAATTAAAAAAAAATGCTACATGAGGCTGGAGAGGTGGCTCAGTGGTTAAGAGCACTGGCTGCTCTTGCTGAGGACAAGGGTTCGATTCCCAGCACCCACATGGTGGCTAACATTCATCTATAACTCTAGTTCCGGGGGTTCTGACATCCTACTCTGACCTCCTTGGGCATTGCATGACATGGATGCACTTGCATGCATGCAATACACTCATACACATAAAATAAAAAGTAAATAAAATATTTTTTAAAATACTCCATTATTTTATGCCTTAAAAATGTGATCTACATATAGAACGTTGCAAATTGTTAGAAAACAAGTAATATGAACACATCACAACCTAAAGAATTCAAGTTACAAGTGTTTCACTTGAGCGACGTGCCTTGGATTTAACTTGGAACGCTTGTAGAAGGAAGTCTACTTTCTGTTTGTAATCATCTTTGAAGAGCTTGGAAATAAAATATTTTCCAAAAAATAAAATTTTTTAAAACAACCCAAGTTGAGAGGTAGCTCAGTGGTTAAGAGCACTGACTGCTTTTGCAGAGGACCTGGGTTAAATTCCTGGCACCCACATGGCAGCTAACACCTGTCCATAACTCCAGTTCCAGGGGAATCCAATGCCCTCTTCTGACCTCCATGGCAATACACTCATATACATAAAATGAAAATAATAAATAAAATATTTATAAAACAACCCAGCTTGCAGACCCAGGACCTCACCAGGATCTGGGTCCAAAGGACGACTCTCTAGCCAGCTTGCCGAATGACCTTTCTGAGCCTTTTGAAATCCATCTAAAATAATGCCACTGGCCGGCTGTTTTATGCCACCAGATCCCAGGGGTTTGTGGCAGTTCCTCGCCCACCTTGTGCCAGACTTATTGTACACCTGGCTTTCTGCAACGCCCTCTCACTGCCTTCCCATCCAACAGCTGCCTGGGTCTAATGTCGCCACCAGATCCCGCTGTGCTAGCCTCCCCTCCCTCTCCTTATGGCTGGCAGCCACATTCGGTCTGTCTGCGTTGGCCCGGGCCACCTCTGCTGCCTTCTGCCACTTCTGGGCTTCTCCCCTCCCAGGACGCACTTGATACGCTGCTACCTCAGGGCCATTGCACCTGCTCCTCCTGCCGGGGCCCCACTACAAGGCCTCACTAGACAGTTTGTGAAGCTGTGCTCACCCCTTTCTTCCCATGGAATCACCTTGTTATGAGGTTCATCCTCTGGTTTGGTGTCGACACCCCGTGGGGTCATCCATAAGGAAGGGGCATGTCCACTCTGCCCCTGCTCTGCAAGTGCGTCCTGGGGGCTGCAGGGACAGCTGTGTTCCACAGCTACTGAGGGGCCTGGATCCTCCCATGTGAAGTGGGGAATGAGACGCTCCCCCTGCATCCTCCTGGGCTCCAGGGGAGGGATCCTGTGGTGCTGACCCTGTACGCATCCTCCCTGGGTCCTCTACGTGGAAGTGTTGACCTGTGAGGCAGGGTGCTGTGAGCAGCTGCAGGTTTCTGTGAGGTGTATGTGAAGTACCATCACTAGGGGACACCAGAGACTGCTGCTGCTCCTGACAGCACCTGAGGGGAAGGTGTGGGGGAGAGCAGGCTGGGAGGCTGGCTGCTGTACTGGCCATTTAGTGTTAGAAAGATCCTGTTTTACAAAATGATGGTGATATGATCAACATAGTCTTAAACAGGTGTCCCCACTTGTCTGCAGGAAAACACTGGCCACCCAAAGTTGCTCCCCACAGGGTGTTAGGGGAGTTGCATGGTCCCAATGCTAGTGTGCTGAGTTGTGTGGATCAGTGCTCTAGAACCCTGGGACAAGTGGCTGAGGGGTGACTGTAGTACCCACTGTAACATGGTCTCAAGCTCAGAGGGATCCAGAGCACACACAAACATGTTTGTATGTACACAAACATGAGAGAGGTTTAGAAAGCACGGAAACGCACAAGTACATCTGTACACAGACATGTGAACACACATAAGCTCTCATGAGCGTGTGTACACAAGGCAAATGTAAGGCTCAAGTGTGGTGCATGCAAACACGTGCTTTCCAAAATGTGTGTGGAAGCAATCGCAAACATAAGCATGCAATGCACTTACAAAGGAAATGAGCATGCACATGCAGACACGCATGCAAAGACATGCAATGCACACAAAAACGTGCATGCAGGAACGTGTGCAGCACAAACATGTGCACGTGTGCATGCAGAGACACAGACAAACACACACACTAAGGCATACACCCATTGGGAGGTGGAGTCCCAGGACCACTTAGAATAATTTGTGCATCTCCCACAGAAGAATGTTCTTGGGTCAGTCACTTCCAAATTTATAGCACCAACCACAGGGCCTGCTGAGGACCTGGGGGACAGGAACAGGCTAGGATAAGAGCACTCAGGGGAGGCCAGCATTGTATATTCAAATTTATTTCGATGAACGCTCAGCCACAGTCTCCTGTGGATTTCTGTACATTCTTTTTTAAAAAAATGGTTTCCATAAAAGGATTTTTGGTAATCTCTTCATTTTGGATACAATAGTTATATACAAAATATCATTTGAACCCCTTTCTGTACAAGAGAAAATAGAAGCATCCGATCCCATGATTTAGCAAACGGTGAACTTGGACCCTAGCCAGCTGACTCCAGGAATGGCAGCCTCACCCCATGCATGTACAGGGAGTCACCTCTCTCAGCCTTGGGAGATACTTCAGGCTCTGGTGCTTGAGAAACCTCCACAACATTGTTAGCTTGACTTCGGATGGAGCTGGTTCCTGGGGCCTGTTAATAAGCTACTACAACCAGAAGTGACAAGGATCTCACGTCCCTGAGAGTAAAAATATAGAGACGCGTTACCAAAATAGAAGGCTTTATTAAGAAAAATCTTTGGTAGTAACAGTATTTTAAATTCCTCTCGATATTTGGTTAACTAATGAAATAAATTCCTTCCACCTTGAGCTATAGAAAATAGAATCCTCAAATCCCACATTATTTTTTTAAAAACAAAACAAAACAAAACAAAACCCAATAAAGAAGGTTCTAAAGCAATGAATGAACCTGTGGGGGCCCTGGGGCTTGGCGGAGCTCTTCAACTCTGTAGGGCGTCCTCTGAGTTGTCACTCTGGCTTGTGCCATGAGGAGGACATCAGCTCAGCGTGGTGTGCCCTCAAGTGGCTGGCGTGGAGCCTGCCAGGGACACCGAGGGTCCTGGTTAATTGGGGGCACCTGCACCCCCAGTTGCCCGGGAATAATCAGAAACCGCCATGTGTGGAAGGCTGGTCACTTCTGCTTCCCATCACAGGGCTAAGCTTCTGCGCTTTCAAAGAAAAGACGGACAAATGGGCCCACCAGCTGGAGAGGGGGCTCCTTTGGGACCAACACCCACGTCGCCGTCCTGCTCTGAAACGCCACCCGCTGCCCACACGTCATTCTGCACCCATCCCAAGGCACCCTTTAGGTTAAGGGTGCTGACCCTGGGGCTCCCGCCTCTCCTGTTGCAGGGGAGCCTCCATGTGCCCCGCGGCTCTGCTCTGTTCAGCCCCGTCACCAGCCATCCTTTCCATCAAATACTAAAGATAAAAAAAGTCCCTGCATAATGGCTTTGTGCAAAAACGAGGGGAAAACAGAAATAAAGAAGAATGTCTTATCAGAGTGGTCCTCCACACGTGCGGACGACACGGGGGCCCGGTGGGGCACTGGCTCTGGAAGGAACCAATGGCCACTCGGTGTTGGTCGGGAAGCCCTGGCCTGCCGGCCTGCCAACGCGGCTACAGCGCACCCCCGCAGTACTCATAGCTGGGCGCCGGGCTGCTGTCCCCGGCCTCGGGCCTGGCCGCGGGGCTGTGGTTGTTGCAGGGTGCGTCCCTTGGCCGCTCCTTCTCCATCCACGTGTCCAGCAGCTGCTGCTTGCCCTGCTCCTCCCGCATGAACAGCTCCACCATGAGCACCTTCTCCTTGTGGATCTGCTGGCTGATGTCCTTGGGGATGTCAGGGATCACCCAGTCCACGAAGTCGCTCATGAACATCACTAGGTTCTGCAGGGAGAGCAGACAGATGAGCACCAGGAGGGGCTGCCTGAGAGCCCATCCTCTAAGGGAGTGTCTGCATTACCTGTGTACCCCGATTGTGCATTCTGTCCACGCACCTCACCTCTGTACCCTGCCTCTGTACCCCACCTATGCACGCTGCCTGTGTACGCCATCTGTGTACCCTCCTGCCTGTACACGCCACCTCTGTACCCCACCTGTGCACCCCACCTGTGCACCCTGCCTGTGTACTCGACCTGTGCACCCCACCTGTGCACCCTGCCTGTGTACTCTACCTGTGCACCCCACCTGTGTACCTGCCCAGTGGCAAAGCCCATCCTAACACTCTCTGTCCCCATGCATGTCCTTTATCTCTGCGGGCCTCAGTTTCCCAGGATGTGTCAGTGTGATAGAACTAGTGCTCTGGAGACCTGGCTCTCTCCTTTTTATTTCTGGGGTGCTGGCGATAAAGCAGGCTTCAGGCTCCACTGCACCCTTCCCAGCCCTGTGCTAACATTTTAAGGGACTCTGAACTGAGGGAGCAGGAAATGCTTTGAACAACAGGTTCCTCTTCAGTTGGGAGGTGTCAGAAATGACTGACAGGTCCCTGGCCAGAAGCGGCAGGAGGCCCTGAGGTCACAAGGAGACCTTTAAGGTAGGGATGACCCCAAGGGCCCACAGTGAGCCTTCTCTGCCAAGGGCCTGCCGGGTTCCTGAGTGCCAGCCACACCCGTGGACTGAAAGCAAAGTAAAGTTGCTTTTACGGAGAGCCAAAATCTTGTTCATTGAACTCACTGGGGGCACTTGTTGGCACCTGGGGAGAGGTGTGTGGCCTTTGTGCGGGGGTGACCCTGGTGCTGGCTGAGATCATCCTCCTGGTTGAGCCAGCCCTGAACCATGCACTACAGAGACCTCCTGCCTCTCATCTCCCTGTTCCCAGCCTGGTGGTTGGCAGTCAGTAGACAGCTCTTTGGGCCGACAAAGGCCTGTCATGTTCCTGATGGCTAGGGCAGTGTACCACCCTCCAGTGCCCACTGGGATGGGCAGAGTCGTCTCCAGTGAAGACCCTGTGCACCAAGCCCCACTTGCCATCCCCCTAGGGCTCTTGGACTTCTCCCAATAAACCACATTCCAAGCCTAGCTGACACCTTTTGTACCCATTTCAGGGAAAGGCTGACTGAGGCCCCAAGTGCCAAGGCTAGGCCATGTAAGTAGCAGAGAAGAGAGAACCTGCTGCCCATGCTTCTGGGCTCCGAGTGCTTGGCCTGCTGCCCTCCTGGTTTGGACTTCCCTGAGGGACGCTCAGGGACATGGCCTGGGCAGCACACACAGGCCTCAGTGACTCTCTCTCTCTCTGGGTCCTCCTTGTAGGGGGTGGGTCTGGAGTCCTCCCCCACAACAAGTGTTGTTGGCCAGGGCGGGGAGTCATCTGAGAGTCACCGCCTTGAGCCTGTACCAGCCCTGTTCCTGACACAGAAACACTCAGGGAGCCAAGCGGGTATATGTAGGCTGCTCCTTCCTGTCATCTCCTACAGCCCTCACTGGTCCACCCTTTCTCTGCCTTTAAAAAATTTTATTTTTATTTTATGTGTGTGAGGGTTTGCCTGTATGTGTATATATGTACCATGTGTGTGCAATGCCCATGGAAGCCAGAAGAGGGCATTAAATACCCTGGAACTGGAGTTATGGATGGTTGTGAACCACCATGTGGGTGCTGGGGACTGAGCCCAGGTCCTCTGCAAGAGTAGTCAGTGCTCTTAGCTGCTGAGCCACCTCTCCAGCCCCCCTTCCCTGCTTTTTCCATGAGGTTCTCTTGAGCGCCCCCCTCCAACTTCTGGAGACAGACACCTCACCCCCAATACACATATACCTGGAAGACGATGACAAATGCCAGACGGGCAGCCAGGACAGCCCAGAAGTCCTTGGAGATGTCATACTTATGTTCTGACCATGGGGGCTCACGGTAATCTTTGTACCTGCAAAAGACATGGGATTGAAGGGCAGATCAAGTAGCGCTTGGGCTCTGGGGAGAAGCTTTAGGGCCTAAACCAGGCTCTGTGGCTGGCTGCAGTGGTGGCCTGCTCCTGGTCTGGACAGGCTCTCTACACTGAATGGGGTGGTCAGGGTCCAGGAGCTTTTGAACAGTGTTGAAAATGTTGAGACTCTGTGAACTCATAGATGAAGACTAGACACATTTTGCTTCATGAGATGTATATGGAAATTTAGGGTCAGGGGTGTGATGTTCTGATTTAAAGTGATGTGTGTTTGGGCTGGAGAGATGGCTCAGGGGTTAAGAGCACTGGCTGCTCTTACAGAGGACCCTGGTTCGATTCCCAGCATCCACAAGGGCTAACTGTCAATAATTCCAATTCTAGGGGATCCAAACCGTCTTCTGGTTCTGGGGGTACTGCACAACACATTACCTGCAGGTGTAACACTCGGACACATAAAAATAAATAAATAAAAAATTTAAAGTGATATGTTTGGGTGTCACATTAACAAAACATGGAGTTAGATGGTTAATCTTGATTGTTAACTAGATTTAGAGTCACCATGGAGGGCTGGTGAGATGGCTCAGTGGGTAAGGACCCTGCCAAGGATCATGACCTGAGTTGGATTCCCAGGACTCACAAGGCGGAAGGAGAAAACAGACTCTCAAAAGTGGTCCTCTGACCTCCACACGCATTCCATGGCGCCCTGATATGAATAAAAATGGAGACAGCGAGTCGCGCGTCAGCACCCATCGCTCTGCTTCCTGACCGTGGATGCGATGTGACCAGTCGCCTCACGCTCCTGCCGCCATGTGGGTGCAGCGTGACCAGCCGCCTCACGCTCCTGCCACTTAAACCATGATCCCAAATAAACCCTTTCTCCCTTCAGTTGCTTCTAGTCAGGTATTTTGCCACAGCAAGAAGACACGTAACTAATATGATACAATTCCCAAAGCCAGGGGCGGGGTCTCTGGTACTCAGGAGCTGGCACGTCCTAGGCTGGTTACTAAAAGCCAAAGTCCTGCAAGCAGATCCAGGAGAGGGCAGCTGGACCTAGAGGCACAACCCTGGTGCTCAGCCCACGATGCTGTGTGTTCCTGACGCTTGCTTGCCGTCTCTGGGTGCTTCCTCACTTGCTTATGTCATTAAGCATTTATTGAGCAACTTCTGAGCACTGGACCATGGGGGGTGGCTGATGCTGCAGGGAATGTTGCAGGTGGTGTCTCTTGCTCATGGGGAGAGTTGGATGGAGTCTCTAGGGCCTGTTTGCCGTGAAGCTGCCAACTCCCCAGACAGGACTGGCTGGGAATACCTGCGACATTGCCAGGTGTGAGCAGAATTGCATAAGCTGCTTTCTGACACGAACAAACAGCCTGTGCAGCGGCTGAGGAAGCTGCTTGTGCCTGCCCCCCCCCTTTCCTTCTAAGTCCCCGACACAGGCAAACTCCTGCACGTCCAGTCATCGCCTCCCATCATGCATGCTGCCCTCTAGAAGATTCTTTTTCTTCCCTGGCTTAGCTCTGACGATCAGCCCTCCAGCTCTTGTGGGAAGAAGAGGATGTGGTCTCTCAGGGTGGCTGGGACCACGTCAGCTTTAGCTCAGGAATAACCAGGAGCCTGTGGTGATGCCAGGTCTCAGCTGTGGCTACCTCTACCACACCTCAGGCTGGGCTCCAGCTGTGGTGGGTGTGGCTGGTGTGGGTGGGCAGTTCAAGGTGACTCCGGTACAGGACTGTGGCCCAGGTGGTGGGAAGTTTGGCTGGCACTGGAGTTGGGGACCACTGCCTTGAGGGTCAAATAAAACACCCTTGACCCTGTGTTCTTGACTGGAGACCCTAATGCTCTGGCTGGGATCCATTCCCCTGCTCTGCCCCCGGGCCCACCTGGCCCACATCCCTCCACACCTGCTGTCTCTTACTCTGCTGGGAATCTGCTGAAAACCAGGAGCTATTTCCCTTCCTTTTTCTCTCTTAGTAATTCTTCTTCTAAATTTGAATTCTAGTGGCTTGTGGAAAAAACCCATAGTGTCCTAGGTGGGGTAGTGTCAATTATGCCAACCTGTCTCATTCAGTCTGTGGGACAGGAGGTTGGACTTCTAGGCAATTCCCTGAGCTGTGCACCCTGGCACTATGGTAACAAGGATGGAGCGCCTGTCCCCCCTCCACTTCACTCCCTAGCGCAGAAGTCCTTTCCCCAGGGGGAGTCAACGCCTTTCCCTGGAGTGATCGATGTAGCTGGTGCCCGTAGAGCGCAGAGCCAACCCGTGGCTCCACCCTGAGGAAACAGCTGGTGGGCTGCAGTGCTGTGGAGCTGTGTTGAGTGGACGCTCCATGCTTCTAATGGGGGGGCGTGTTTTCAAGTTGGGAGGGGCTGTCGGGGCCAGGAAACTTCTATGCAGTGGTGCGTGCTGGGAGTGGACTTTTTAAACATGGCGTTGTGTTGGGCTGTGTTCTGTCTCACTAACCTCCCCTCCTAGGCTCTATCTCTGTCTCCCTGACACCAGCGGAACACAGTTTCAGGGTAGCTGTTGGCTGTTGTCACCCCAACACAGAACACACAGGACACAGTGTCCATGCCCCTCGCTCCCCTCGTGGTAGCCTTAAGTCACTTGAACTTTCCTTTCTTTCTTTTTTGAGACAAGGTCTTGGTATGTAGCACTGACTGGCCTAGAATTCACTATGTCTCACTATGCAGACCAGGCTGGCTTTGATTTCAGAGATCTGCCTGCCTCTGATTCCCGAGTGCTGGCTTGGACTAAAGGTGTCCACCACCACGCCCTACTTGTGAAATTAAAAACAATTTTTTTTTTTTTTGAGACAGGGTCTGGTGTAGCCCAGGCTGGCCTCAAACTCAATACGACCTTGAACGCCTGGTCCTCTGGCCTCTGCCTCCTTCAGTGCTGGGCTGTCAGGTGTACCCACCCTGCCTGTCCAGTTTTGCTTTCTTACTCTCACAGGAACAATAGACATCATTCCCTTCCCAGGGCAAAGCCCCCAAGGATCTAATCAGTGAGAACCTGCCTTTGAAAGGTGCTGCCCTACTGAGTGCCTCCCTACTGAGGGCTGAGCCTTCAAGGCATGAATCTTCAGGGACACACTGCATCTAGACTGCACCAGCTACAGTGTTCTGTTGATTTTCACAGCAAAACAGGAACTCCAGGGACAGTAATAAGCTCTCTACCCCTCCCTCCCAGACCACCACATTTTATTTATTTATTTATTTACTTATTTATTTATTTATATTTAAAAACAGGATCTTGAGTTGGGGGGGCAGTTCACGCCTTTAATTCTAGGGAGACAGAGGCTGGTGGATCTCTGTGAGTTCAAGCCCAGCCTGGTCTACATATCGAGTTCCAGGCCAGCTGGGGCTACAGGGAGACCCTGTCTCAAAAAGCAAACCAAAAAAAACTAAACAAATAATAAAAAAAGATAGGTTCTCAGGGCTGGAGACCTGGCTCAGTGGTTAAGAGCACTGGTTGCTCTTACAGAGGACTGGGGTTTGGTTCCCAGCACCTACATGGTGGTTAACAACGGTCCTTAACTCCAGTTCCAGAGGGTCAGTGCCCTCTTCTGGCCTCTGTGGGCATTGTACACACAGAGTGTATTTACATGCAGTTAAAACATTCAAATACATAAAATGAAAATAAAGATTAAAAAAAATAAAGTCAGGATCTCATGTACCCCAGACTTGCCCCAGTCTTTTGAATGCTAGAATTATAGGTATGGGCTACCATGCATCTCTCTCTCTCTCTCTCTCTCTCTCTTTCACACACACACACACACACACATTTTCAAACACACACACACATTTTCAAACACACACACACATACACGCACACACACAAATATTTTTGTTGTTATGCTGTGGGTTTATTTTTTTTTTTTTGAGACAAGGTCTCACCTAGCCCAGGCTAGTCTGAGACTCACTATGACCTTGAACTTCTGACCCTCTGTCTCCACTTCCCAAGTGCTGGGATGACAGGTGTGTGCCACCACACTTGGCTTTTGTTGTTGCTGAGACAGGGGCTCCAGTAGCCTAGACTGGCCCCAAACTCACAGCAAACTCACTGTGGGGTCACAGTCATGCACCACCTCTTGAAGCCAGTTTAAACGCTCTTGAATCACCCCTGAAGATCCCTGGTCTAGCTCAGCCTCCCCCAGAACTCCCTACAAGGGCATTTCCCCAAGTAGGACCTCAAGGCCGTACCTGCAGATCTGAACCTCGTAGCCCAGGTCCAGTGGGTCGTTGGGTGCCGTGCCGTTCTGAAAGTCGCTGACATTGAAGGAGGACAGTGTGTGGTTAACAAAACCATGCATGGTCCCATTCTGACTGTACATGTAGAGGTAGACCAGGCGCGGGATGAAGTCAGACGTGAAGGAGATCACGAACGCCTGCCAGGAAGGAGCAGATGAGTTCCAAGCCTGGTTGGGGTGGTGCGGGGCGGCCACATGGATGATCAAAGGGTCAGGGTGCTCCCCTCTCACCCCTCTATAGCTTAGAGGAGCCCTGGGGGCTTGGGGTAATGTTTTGAAGGAGAGATGACATGAGCAAGTCAGGGACACTGGGCTGCCTGCCACAGGCTGTGTGGCTCTCTAGGCCCATATTGTTAAACAGGCTGACCGTGTCTACTGTGGCTCGACCCCTTGGGCTTGCTGGAGAAGTTGGAGAGCCTGGAGAAGGGATCTGTAAACTGTAAAGTTCTGGCCTATGTCTTCCTAAGAACAGGCTGCAGTGACTTCGTGCAGGGACCTGAAGCCTAACATCCTCTGGACTGTCTGGCTGTGTGGCCCTGGGGACTTCACCCACCATCTCTGTACCACAGCTATCTCACTGGCAACATGGGGCTTGCCAGACCATGCCTCCACCGGCTGTGGGCAGGCCAATGGCTTCATATGTGGCAGAGTATAGAGGGTCTAGATCATTCTAGAAGCAGCACTGGGAGCCCCTAACATTGTCACTGTTGTCCTCGTAAGATGCCCTGCGCCACCCGGCTTCATGCAGGCTGTACCCTGAGCCTGTGACTGTTTGCTCTGGGAATGACTCCTGCTCCCTATGTGCAAGAACGTATCAGAGTGTGTTTGGCTCAGCCAGGGGGCAGAGGGCCCGAGGGTGGCGGGGCTGTAGTGCTGTGGATGTTTTAGGACTGCCTGGGGCTCACGTGCCTCTGAGCCAGCCTTGGGCTTTGACTCATCAGCAGGGATATCTTCATAGAGCCAAAGCCACAGGGGATGGGGAGCTGGTCAAACCACAGTGAAGCCTGTGTGTGTGGGGTCACCCATGTGGCAGAGGTCTGTGCCACTCTTGACCTGAGACTAGCGTGTGTTGGAAAGACACAGTCATGGCTGGGGAGGGAGGTAGGAAGAAGATACTGGCCTAGATGGAGCTGGGGTACCGAACAGTCTTTCCCTTCCACTGTGTTCCAGTTTTTTTTTTTTTTTTTGAGACTGAATCGTGTAGCCCAGGCAGGCCTTGAACTCTGTGCAGCTGAGGATAACCCAGAATTACTGATTGTCCTGCTTCTACCTCCTGAGTGCTGGGATGACAGGCATGTGCCCCCATGCCTGATTTATGTGGTACTGGGGATCAAACCCAGGGCCTCGTGCATGTGAGGCAGGGCCAACTGGGCCACAGCCCTAGTCTCCGAGGGCTTTTCTAAAGAGAGACACCCCAGTGGCCCCACCACTCAGCCAGGCCTTTCACTCCCTCCCGTCACTTGTCACTTACATTAATGATGACAGCGAGCTTTCCCACACCTCTGAGGATGTTGTACCAGATGCCTGGGGGAGAAGCACACAGGTTGTAGTCAGGCACCCAGGCTGGCCCCACCTCACAGGTGGCTGGAGGGGCTCCCCCTCCCCACCGACCCCGGCAATGGGACATAGCTGAGGACAGCAGGGAGCCCAGGGAAGGCTAGGGTCCATGGCTGCACTGTGTTTCTGTCAGCTTAGTGGTTATTTGTGAGCATCAAAGCTCCTGAAACAAACACTTGGATGGCCTGGTCCCTAGTGGCCCCAGACCCTCCCTGTGAGCCTGTCTGGAGGCACTGGGTGCAGGAGTCGTCAGTGACTCGATTTGTCCCTGGTGTCAGAAAGCTGTGGTTGGGGCTGAGCTCCTATCTGGTGAGACGACATTACCCTGGGAAGGACCCCCGGGTGGCTTCTGAACAAATGGTTCCCCTCTAGACACAGCCTTTGCCAACTCACTACCCCGAATCTCTGATTGGCAGAAGGCTTATACCAGGTGTGGCAGACCCTTGCTCCTCATCCGTCTCCTGCTGGTAACAGCAGCGAAGTCCAGGAAGGAGGCCAGGTGCTTGTCAGGGCCTCTGGGAGAGATTCCCACAGGGGGTTCCCTTTAACGCAGGCTCCCAACCTCACCCCATCAGGATGGATGCATGTCAAGGGCACCGTCTCTAATTGTACTCTATGGGGCTGTGTGTGCATCCAAGCCCCTAGCTGTACCCCATGAGTCAGGATGTGTGTCTGGGGCCCTGTGTGCTGCAGAACCCAGTCCCTAACTTCACTCCATCAGACCAGGAGTGTGTTCATCATTCGTATCTGGCTCCCAGCTCTAAGCCAGGTCTGTGATGGGGTGACCAGCCTTTCTCAGAAGTCACCCGGGGAGACAGTGCCCCAGTTGTCCTTGGAAACACTGGCTGGCGTTTTCACCCAGTTGTAGTTGACAGAATGCACCAAAAGCTGTTCCCCTCCAGCAAGGGAGCCTCCTAGCCTTCAAAAATGAGGTGTACACTGGTGGTCCACGAGGCCAGCAGATCAGTCCTGGGCATCACAGAAGCTGGGTACCATGGGAAGGTTCATGGTGTTAGGTACATCCTTCTGCCCTAGCCAGCAGCAGTTCCCAGATACAACAGTCTCTGTCCTCGAGATCTCTGCCATTGTATGGGCAGTCTGGCAGAGAGCCATCTGCCTCCCTGGGGGTGATGGCCTGACCTGAGATGAGACATTCACACACCTCACCTGGTGCTGCCCACATGGTGGGGGTTCTGTCTAGTTTCCCGATAGCAGGGATGGTGGGCGGACAATGGGCCCTGCATGTTGAAAGCCTATGCACATGAGGGAGCCAGAGAGAAGAGTGTACCTTACTAGTGTCATAGTGAATATACTTCAGTCATTCATGCCTGGTGTCTCCTGGTGTGTGTTGGGACTAAGAACCCTTCTATAGACTCAGAACTTCTGGGCAGGTCGAGGACTGTACATCTTGTATTTCCAGGGCCTCGCTGTGCTTACTCATTGGGTAAATGTTTGTTGACTTGCTATGGTAGTGTAGAAAGTCTCAGGGGGTTAAGAGTGCTGGCTACTCTTGCAGAGGACTTGGGTTCAATTCCCAGCACCCATGTGGTGGCTAACAACCATCTGTAACTCCAGTTCCAGGATCTGATGCCCTCTTCTGGTTTCTGTGGATAATTGCATGCATGTGGTGCACTTACATATATGTAGGCAAAACCCTTATGCACATAAAGTTATATATATGGAAAGCCTTCTCAGATGAAGCCAGAACAGAGGGGGTGAAGAGGTAACCTACTGCATGATGGTCCCGTTAGACTTGGACTCATGAAAAACGTTGGGGCTGGCGAAATGACTCAGCAGATAAAAAGCACTTGCCCCGCAGGCCTGATAACTGAGTTCCATCCCTGGAACAGTGGAAGGAGAGAACCCACTCTCAAAAGACTAGCTGCTTTAGAGAGATCCCGAATGCTGGTCCAGACCCCACGGCAATAGTCGCGGTGCCTAACGGTGTTGTCTTTGGCAGGCCGGCTGACCACACCAGGTCCCTACATACAGACTGTCTTTGCTGCCATCTTGGAGCCCTCTGTCTTATTTTATTGCATTTTCCTTTCTTTTCTTTCTTGTTTTGAGACAAGGATCATGTAGTCCAGGCTGGTTTCAAACTCACTATGCAGCTGAAGATGACTGAACTCCACTTCCTACCTGCTGGGATGACAGGCGTGCCCCACCATGTCTGGTTTATGCAGTGCTGATGATGGATACCAGGGTTTTGCGCTCGCTAGGTAAGTCCTCCGCCAACAGAGCCCAAGCCCCAGAGAAGCAAAGGCATAGCCCAGGCTGGCCTTGAACTTGTGATCTTTCTGTCTCATTTTCTTTGGCATTTGTTGACTGACATTTGCCATCGTGACTGGCAAAATTCATCTTCAAGTTTACTTTTTATTTGATTTTATCTTTTTGGAGACAGGGCTTCTTGGAGACCTGGCTGGCCCTGAACTCAGGATGTAGCCCAGGCTGACCTTGAACTCCTGATCCTTTTCTTTGCATCTCTTTCCTGGGTATGGGGATTATAGGTTTGTGCTACTGCTTATGGCTCTCCTCCTCCTCCTTTTCCTCCTCCTTCTTGACACAGGATCTTCCTGTAGCCCCGGCTGGTCTGGAATTCACTATGTAGACCAGGCTAGTCTTGAACTCATAGAGATCTGCCTGTCTCCGGCTTCCTAGTGCTGGGATTAAAGATGTGCACCACCAAGCCGGGGTAATTCCTTCTCCTCCTCCCCGTCCCCCTCCCCCTCCCCCTCCTCCCAGAAGGGCTTTAAGTCCCATTTCTAATAGTGACAAGGAAATGTACCCGGTGCCCCATGAGGACGTGGCATGTTCACTTGCACTGTCCACGCACAGCACATGGCTGAGGCAGATAAGCTCTAGAGTAGGAAGTTAGCACTCAGCACCGGCAACTGGGGCTGGGGTCCCCCGCACACAGCGTGTGGGTCCCGGCAGAGACTTCCTTCGAAGCCATGGTGGGTCATCAGGCTCCTACGCTCCAGAGCACAGGGCCCGTGGGGGTGCAGGCCAGAGGCACTGCGGGGCCGGGACACTGGCCCAGAGGCTCTGCATGGATCAGAGGAGGAAGACAAAAGCCCTTTGAGCTAAAGGTCGCAGCTTGGGAGGCCTCAAACAAGCCTGTGAAAGGCAGATCACGCCTCTAACCAGCTGGGCAGGAACCAGGAAGCAGCCGCTCATCCATAAGACCTGGGAAAAAGCAAGGCGCCTGCAGCGAGGGCTCCGAGGACGCTCTGGGGAGCCCCGTGGGGAGGGGCACAGCCGGGAGGCCACTGCATCTGGGGCTGGCCGGCCTCCGTCCAGAAGCAAAGTCACGGAAGCCACGACATGCCCACTGGCGGCTTGACCCCGGCCTTTGTGGGCTGGGGCCCGCGGCCACATGCTTTTCCTCCTTTCTTGTCACAGGGTAGGGACCCCAGGGTTTCTAAGAACCGCCTGGGAGCAGTCCCCGTTGGGAGCAAAGTCACGGAAGCCACGACATGCCCACTGGCGGCTTGACCCCGGCCTTTGTGGGCTGGGGCCCGCGGCCACATGCTTTTCCTCCTTTCTTGTCACAGGGTAGGGACCCCAGGGTTTCTAAGAACCGCCTGGGAGCAGTCCCCGTTGGGCCTCCAGTGTTCGCGGTGTGTGTGGGGTCTCCTCCAGTGTTCAGTGTGTGTGGGGTCTCCTCCAGTGTTCGGGGTGGGAGTCTCCTCCAGTGTTCAGTGTGGGGTCTCCTCCAGTGTTCGGTGTGTGTGGGGTCTCCTCCAGTGTTCAGTGTGTGTGGGGTCTCCTCCAGTGTTCGGGGTGGGAGTCTCCTCCAGTGTTCAGTGTGGGGTCTCCTCCAGTGTTCGGTGTGGGGTCTCCTCCAGTGTTCGGTGTGTGTGGGGTCTCCTCCAGTGTTCAGTGTGTGTGGGGTCTCCTCCAGTGTTCGGGGTGGGAGTCTCCTCCAGTGTTCAGTGTGGGGTCTCCTCCAGTGTTCGGTGTGTGTGGGGTCTCCTCCAGTGTTCAGTGTGTGTGGGGTCTCCTCCAGTGTTCGGGGTGGGAGTCTCCTCCAGTGTTCAGTGTGGGGTCTCCTCCAGTGTTCGGTGTGTGTGGGGTCTCCTCCAGTGTTCAGTGTGTGTGGGGTCTCCTCCAGTGTTCGGGGTGGGAGTCTCCTCCAGTGTTCAGTGTGGGGTCTCCTCCAGTGTTCGGTGTGTGTGGGGTCTCCTCCAGTGTTCAGTGTGTGTGGGGTCTCCTCCAGTGTTCGGGGTGGGAGTCTCCTCCAGTGTTCAGTGTGGGGTCTCCTCCAGTGTTCGGTGTGGGGTCTCCTCCAGTGTTCGGTGTGTGTGGGGTCTCCTCCAGTGTTCAGTGTGTGTGGGGTCTCCTCCAGTGTTCGGGGTGGGAGTCTCCTCCAGTGTTCAGTGTGGGGTCTCCTCCAGTGTTCGGTGTGTGTGGGGTCTCCTCCAGTGTTCAGTGTGTGTGGGGTCTCCTCCAGTGTTCGGGGTGGGAGTCTCCTCCAGTGTTCAGTGTGGGGTCTCCTCCAGTGTTCGGTGTGTGTGGGGTCTCCTCCAGTGTTCAGTGTGTGTGGGGTCTCCTCCAGTGTTCGGGGTGGGAGTCTCCTCCAGTGTTCAGTGTGGGGTCTCCTCCAGTGTTCGGTGTGTGTGGGGTCTCCTCCAGTGTTCAGTGTGTGTGGGGTCTCCTCCAGTGTTCGGGGTGGGAGTCTCCTCCAGTGTTCAGTGTGGGGTCTCCTCCAGTGTTCGGTGTGGGGTCTCCTCCAGTGTTCGGTGTGTGTGGGGTCTCCTCCAGTGTTCAGTGTGTGTGGGGTCTCCTCCAGTGTTCGGGGTGGGAGTCTCCTCCAGTGTTCAGTGTGGGGTCTCCTCCAGTGTTCGGTGTGTGTGGGGTCTCCTCCAGTGTTCAGTGTGTGTGGGGTCTCCTCCAGTGTTCGGGGTGGGAGTCTCCTCCAGTGTTCAGTGTGGGGTCTCCTCCAGTGTTCGGTGTGTGTGGGGTCT